GCTGGCCACGCTATTTCGAATACAAGCCAGGATGCCGTTGGCTTTCTTGGCCACCCGGGCACACTGCTGGCTCATATTCAGCCGCTTGTCAATTAGGACCCCCAGGTCTCTTTCTGCCAGGCAGCTTTCCAGCCACACTTCCCCAAGCCTGTAGGCCTGCATGGGGTTATTGTGGCCCAAGTGCAGGACCTGGCACTTGCCCTTGTTGAAACTCATACCGCTGATGTTGGCCTAATGATCCAATCTATCTTAAGTCTCTCTGTAGAGCTTCCCTATCCTCCTGAGAATCAACACGCCTGCTTAACTTGGTGTCATCTGCGAACTTGCTGATGATACACCCTATGTCCTTATCAAGTTCATCAATAAAGACGTTAAACAGAAATGGTCCCAACGCTGAGCCCTGAGGCACACCACTTGTGACCGGCCGCCAGCTGGATTTAAATCTTGTAGTTGCCACGGCTTACATGGTGAGTTGTAACTATCTGTGCTACAATACGCGATTGCTGGTGAGAAGGTGAATAGACCCAAGTGTTTTGTGAAAGGTGCCTTATTTTCCATATGCCTGTGTCATTGAAAACATGAGCTCCCATCTCTTGGCCTGGAACAGCCTCCACACCTCTGAGACATACCTGGCAGGTCAATGGCATAGGTGTAGCCGAGCTGCTCTGAGGTTTGGAAGAGCTCGTCGTTGGTCACAGGAGGAAAAAAAGGGACCATGTTATACAGTCTGTTGTGACCGATGGGGGCCAGCTCTGCAGGCCAGGCATTATCAGGGGGGTTAAACCGCTTCATCCACTCATCAAAGATGGCATCAGTAAAGGAGTGAAGAACCTGCAAATCCAGGCATGGACACACACTTTTATTAAAGCCCTTTCTGAACTCAACAGCAGTTAAAACGCTCTCGTCTAAGGTGGGAGCAGCTTTTGAGAGAGAAGAGGGTAATCTAGTTTAGGTGGGTTTTACAGAATGGGAAACCAGGAAAGCTTGTGAGAATCAAGTAAACTGATCTCCTGCATGGGACATTTTGCTGTGTATGTCCTTGTTGCTGCTTGTTCATAATAAGCTCTTTCTCCAGACAGTTTAATATCAGCCAGCAGTGAATGGGCAGGTCCATCCTCGAGGGTGGGGGCCTGCTAAGCTCATTCAGGTGAATGTACATCACAAACATAATTCACTGTCTCTCGTATTTGAAGAGGTACAGAAAATTGCAGGAAATTTGATTCCTTCATGCTCATTTGATAGTGTGCCAGCAGTTCCACAGCTCCAGGTACCCACGAATTTGACCAGGTCTTGCCCAGTGAGCCTATAGGTCTGTAAAGCACTAATACAGGAAAGTTGTTTCCCAGTTGAGTTCAGACAACCATTACAAATGTCTGGGGCAGTTCAAATTAATTTCTGATGCACTTATGTTTTTTAATTACCACCCTTGAAAACACTTAGAAAATATCTCATGGAAAATAATCATGCATATAGAATTACAGCATAGTGAAATGAACGTTCCATTGTGTAAGAAAGGAATTGATCAAGAATTATTAAGAAAATAATCTGGAGAACCACTTCATAGGTATTTGGGCTAACTTTTCCAACAAAAGATTGCCAACTTAAAATAAAGGTAAGAAAGAAATTAATTGTATAAAAATTTGCCTATATAATCAAGTGTGATTTAATCTAACAAAGAGGAAAAGAAATTGGTATGAATTTATTAGGAAAGATGTGTAACAAGAGTCAACGGTTGGCTTTTTATTCGCACATTGCTGTTTGTGCTGCTCATTGCAGTACGACACTGTACCAATGTACCACTGAAATCACATTATTTCTATTCCCCAAAAGACCCTGAAATTAGATGTGCTTCCTTTCAGTCTGTGAAGTTATAAACAAAGAAACAAACTACTTAGTCTACTGCTCTAAAAATAACTGACCCCACATTCAGCTTATCTTGTTGCTGTAAAATTGTCTGGTATAAGCTATTAAATTTAGGTACCACCTAATGAAAAGATTCAGGGCAACGTGACTTGGAACAGCAGCTCTTCTCTCTAGAAATTTATTTTACATTTCACAAATCACCCTGAGATTTCTCCCCTCTTTAATGACCATTACACAGGTACAGCAATGTTCAAGAAAAGAGAAAAAAATCTCTTTTCTATTCACAGGACTTATTTTTAGGGAATTCACTTTGCTTGTTTTGCAAACCTCTGGTAAGTCAGCTTCTCTGAGCCACTGCCACACATGCTGGAGCAAAAAGACGTACCACAAAGATGGGATCATTGGCAGCTGCGTGAGGGAGGACGCTGGTCCCATTCAAGAAAGAGTGAGCCAAATTATGAAGGCTCAGCATCGGTGAGTTAAGAGCTCCACCTGGTTTATCAAAACCCTCCAGTGCATTCCTGTGGATGGGTAAAAGCAGCATCAGCTAACCATATTTTGCTGACAAACACACACATAAAGAAAACCCATGACCCACTCAGCTTTGGAGGAGCTGAAGGACAGACCTGAAACTGAGACTGGAATTGCGGAAAAAGGGGGGACTGTCGAATTCCTGCAGGGAAAGGCACCTCCTGACATCCTCGGCAGTGGGCAGCTGCTCGCCAGAGCCCTGGGGTGGCCTCCGCCTCAGCGGCCCTTCGTCACTCCCATTGCACAGTGTGACCAGGCGGTTGTAGTCATCCAAGCTGAGCGTGAAAAGGAAAGAGGCACAAGTCAGAAGAAGGTGATGACACACGGTTTGTTGGCTTTGTCTCCCATAGTATAAAAGAGGCCTCGACTGTACATGCAAGAGAGCAGGGGTTAGGGACTGACACCTCCTGGGGCATCTCGGTTCACTTCCCATGGCCTGGGAGCCGAAGTTATTGCAGGACTGCCACCGTCCCATGACTTTCCATGGCTCTGCAGCCTCTGTGAACCATCAGTCATTTGCACCAAGACTCACCGGGTTCATCCTCCACAGAGAGAGGATGCTTTAGAAAAGACAAGCTCAACTCCCTTTGCACATACTCCCCTCCTGAGGGCTTTGCAAGAACACTTTTTGCCAGACAATCTAAAAGAGTCTTTTGAATTTTGAACTGAAAAACTTTCAGTCCTGCGTAAGGACTAGTTTATTAACTCTTAACAAAGAGGAAAATAGACAAGAAAGTCCCACTGTGGGGTGGGCTAAGAAAATGCAAGGAATGACAGCAAACAGGATTTCACTTTCCATCCCTCATCCTCTTTAGAAGAAAAGCAACTGCAATGCGTTACACCCTCTTTTTCAGGGCCTGGAGGACATCCTGCTGTTGCAGGGTTTGCCTACTAACTAATGGGGAGCAAGTTCTTTATATCAGGCAGAGAAAGAAGGAAGGAGGAATAGAGAAACAGTGTAGCACTTGTGGAAAAAAAAAATCTATGATATTCAGTATAAAATAAGACGGCATTTTCAGAAACTCCTGAAGTAAACAAAAGTCCTTCTTTTTTTAACCTTGGCAAGGCAAAAGTTTCACTTGGGGTTTCAAGAAAAAACAAAACCCTATTTACCTTATAGAAAAAGTAGGGGCGAGATTTCAAGCCAGCTGGTGCCTAAAGCTAGAATTTCAAGTAGTTCTTTAGGTACCCAGAGAAAAAGATCCTTTTGAAAAGCCCTGAGCTCTTGGTACCTCCGTCTGACTGGCTGCACGCTGCCCCGGAGCTGGCAGAGGAACGTTTTATGAGAATTGTAACCAGCAGCATATTATGTCGTAGCACCAAAGCCCTGCCCTCACCCAAATCAGTATACGCCTAAAGAGAGCTGGCAGCAAGCTCCCGGCTGTCTCTGTGTTGCTTTCCATATGAAATCTCAGCCACTTCGAAGTCAATCCCCAAACTGCACTAAATGTATCAGGAATATATAAATCTACATATAAAAATGTATATTTATATGTACATTATATATATTTTATATATATATAAACTAAAGATATACATATAAAGATGTCTATATAGAGATATCATTCAATACAAGGGAACAGATTTTTCAGCCTGTCTCTAGCTTCCTATATGCCAAAACAGTTTTCTGTTTCTGCTGCCAAAATCAGTGGGGTGTTTGTTACAGAGACCCAACATGCAGGCATTTCTTCTTTAAAAAGATACTTGCCAGTGTGCAAACTCTTCAGACTTTTGGCAGCCTCAAATTGGCTGAATCGACTAAAATCCTGTACCAAAAGAATCATCCTGAAAAATATGCTTCCATAATACCAGGGGGGAAAGTTTCCACAGCACCATCTACACACAAACCGATGGTGATTCCCAATTTTAAAAAAGACATCTTGGCTCTGTTCCTGCCACTAACTCACACTGACAGAGCAGCCCGCACCCTCAGTACTGAATGAAAGCAAGGTTTGATCAGTATGCAAGCTTGCCTTAGATATTCTTGTACCTGTTACAAACTATTTGCTACCGGGAGAACCTGGAGCTCGGGCTGATCAGCTCCGGGTCATCTGGCCACGATGCTCCGAAGAGCTGGTCCGTGCAGACATCACACTCATTTCTACCCGTGGCGAAGTTCCAGTAGGGCAGCGCAAAGGAGTCGTTGCCCACCAGTCGCTGCAATGGACAGACACACGTTAGCAGGGAATCACATTCAATGGAAAAAGAAAGAAAGGGATTCCAGCAAGTTGTTTCACTGGGTATTCACTGGATATTTCACTGGATATTCTGCTTTTCATTCTGAATTTCACCTACATGCACTTCACAGAGATGCTCCAACTCCTTTCAAAAGATTGGGGCGTTAATTCAATCCCAGCAAAAACATTGTCAGTAGTTACTCTACTGTTGACCTGCACTTCTTTTGGCCGTGTCAGGCTTTCTACCAACTCAGAGACCGGGCAGGAGAGCAGAAGCAGAGTTGAACAGAGCCTCAAGGAACCGAGAGTTTCTGAGTGACGTACGTGGGTAATGGGTAAAATTGTGCATATGGTTTGCTTTTGCTCCAGAAAGGCTAGCCCTGGGGAAAAGTTTGAATTTGTTACTAACAGCAGAATACAGTGCATTTGCTTGTGGTTTCTTGTTAGATATGATTTCACGCAAGCAAGATCCTGCAGCTATTTTGATATCAACCACGTTCATTAGAGATCTGCAAGGCTGAAATACGGTAACATTGCCAATGTAGAAGTAATGCAAATTTTTCTTTAAAAGATATATTGCTAAATATATGCATGTATTAAACATATAGCATGGCACATTTAAAGGGGGTAATATGTGAAGTTGCTTTGACTAGGAGGGTATCTTCAATATCAGCAGACAATATCTGTTACCAAGTTTTATGTGTAGGTGTTGCTTTTATTTTATTAATAAATACTGTTAATTCACATCTTCTGTCCTCTGTTGGGGAGATGAAGAAAAAAATCTCCATGATAACCTTCACATCAGTGTTCACAGTGAGAAACTGTTCAGTCCGCAGTATCTTGAAAGCACCGATTTCACTTTAAACAAAAAAGTATCAGTGAGCAAATACTCCTGGGAGTTTGGGTAAGAATCTGTCCTAGGAAATAGCTTACCCTTGGCTGGCTCGACAAAGTCATGCAGCAAAAGAGAGAAGCTGCATGAGGAAAGGGAAAAGCTGTTCAGCTAACCTGCAGGTCTCTCTCCAGCAACAGCAAATGGTACCTATGCCAAGTAACAAAGGCAGGTCCTTGATGGGAGAAATCGATACCTTTGAAGGGGCGGCCAGGTCCTACAAAGGGAAGACAAAGTAAGCGTTGAGGCACCAAATGAGGCTCCAGAGAAAGACAGCACCTTCCTCTATTGCCTGGAGTGGAGTCAAACAAGAACCTGCAGCTCTGCACCTTTGGAAAGAAAGCGCACATCAGAAGCTACAACACTTACATGGGCCAAGTGAAACAAACTCCTCTGTGGACATTCACTTCAGTGCTTCTCAAAACCTCACATTCCCCCCAAAGTTGGATATTTTGAATATTTTTTACTCTTTTCGTGGGTTTTGGTTTTAAGAAGCAGTCGTCTTGTCTAAAATCTTAGCTCCTTGCTAATGCGTACCACATTATCTCATTCTCTTGCTCAGTGGCAGGACTTGCACCAAGTATCTATCAAGAGAACCTCAACATTTTCCACAACCTGCCAACAGTAATTCAACATGTCTTTTGCTGATTCTCTTCAAATTGGTCTTGTTATTTCTGGTATTGTGCTCTTGTTATTACGCGTGAGAACTAATACACTCAAAGGCTTCAAACCATATATGCATTTATTTATCACTGAAGCAAGCTTCAACCCAGATACAAATTAATTTGCAGCACTGGAAGTTATCTCTTTCCCCTTCCACATGACCGTCTTGTCCCCTGAAGGAATTTTGCTCTTGCTAGGCCAGAGACTGCTTCCTCCAGCCCTGCAAAATGGAAGCATGTCAGAAGGGGAGACTGAAGAAAACCCACAGCAGGGTAGCAGATACCCTCTAGCAAGGAGGTAGATATGGGCTGTGCAGGTTGCACATGGGACTGCTGGGCAGAAAAGCTGCCTCCTCCTGTGAGAGCTGGGCTTTGTGAAATGGGGCTGGCATAGGTACTTCTGTCTAGAAGAGCAATGAGGACTAGGAATCCTGATTTGGGAGAAAGCATGGGGTTAGATACTCAAACGTCTAACGTGGTTTGGTTTTAAAAGCTGGCTATGGTTAGACAGGCAGATCCCATCCTTAGTGACTTGCTGAAGGCCCCAGAAAGCAGTTCCCAACGTCTCTGTATGGTCCCTGCCTTCACTATTGCAGACCCCTTTTCCCACTGCTGCTGTATCTACCTTGTCCTGTGGACTAGGAATGTCTTTTTGAAGTCAGTCACCGCCTGATCACACTTCAGTTCACCCAATGGTGGAGCCTGTGACCTTCCTCACTGTCAGAAGGAAGATGCACCAGGAGTGCGGCTGGTGTGCTCCAGCCGCCACAGGGTGTTTGGTTGTGGGGACCAGACTGCAGCAGGTCTGAAGGTCCTTCAGCTGCAGGTGGCCACCAGCTTCTTACCACCAACTGTTTCACTCCGCAGATCTCCTCCTACTGGGACTCACTGCTCACTAAAGTAACACAGCTGTGTTAAGCATACTTACCTTTGTTCAGAAATTATACTTTTCACCCTTTGCTTTACCTGCAGAGCCCCTTGGATAAGAAAAGCACTAACCTAACAGCGTGTCTCTGACTGAGTAGTAATGGAGCCAAACAAAGTAGTTATAAATACTACAGTTGGCAATTTGTGGTTCCTCTCCAGTGGGACCGAGTAGACTCATCCAGTGCTGAGTTGCAATTACATAGTCTGGGTGAATGGTTGTCTTTGCACGGTCTAGAGCATCGAAGAACTGCGCTCTCTCCTCTGCCGACAGGGCATGGACATCCTTCCTGACAACTGGTGGCTTCCTCACATTGCAGTCAGGACCGGTCCAGCCAAACTTGCAGTCACCACAGTTATAGCCAGCAAAGTTTCCTGAATCAAGAGGGAAAAAGCAGTCATGACATTATGAATCAGGGAAAATTAACAGTGAAATGCAGAAGAATTAACAATTAGCGCCCTTTTTCCCCAGAGACACCAGTTTCTGGAAGGGACAACATCTGAGCAGACTGGCAGCTTTGCCAATTGCCTAACCAGAAGGATGTTTCTCTTCCCAGAGCCATGGAAGGGCCAAGAATCACACTCAGCGAGCTGGGGAGGTGAAGCACTGGGTAATGGGCTTGATGCCCCAAGGTGCTCAGAGCTCTGCAAAGCCCTCAGGCACATGAGCAGAGGGCCAAGCACTTCAGGTTAAGCACATGATGAAGAGCTCAATTGGCTCTCAAGCACTCCCAGACTTCCAGGATCAACCACCAATCACCATCGGCTCATGTGGATTCTTAAGCACAGAAAAAAAAATCCCCGAAACAAAACAGTTCTCTTAAGGACAAAACTCAGGAAAAACTAATTTCTGTTAACAGTGTGTCTGGGACCCAACACAACCCAGGACAAGCACCAGGGGTGCTGTCAGGACATGCTTTAAGCATTATTAAATGGTGCTGAGAAACACTGCAGCACCGTCATTCCCTGTTGGCATCATTCCAAAGGCAGGTTATGGGGTTCGCGCCAGGCTGTAGGCTCAGACCCTCTCATGCGATGGAAGAGCCCAGGAAAGTGGAGCTTGCTTTAAGCGTGACCTCTTGCCCACCATGGCAGGCCGCCAGAAGCAGCAGCAAGGTCCAGCTGCAGCTGGCTTTGCCTTTGCCAGCAGAGATGGGGAAGGACCATTCCTGCAGTGGACATTTACCTCCTGCCTACACACAGGCAGGCTGCGGGCCTAGCGGGGGGGTAGGACAAGGATTGCTGCCAGGGGAAGGAGGGAGCAGAGGGGCAAGCAGGGGTCCTCTGGGATCTCCACACCATTCTCCAAAAGCCGCACTGAGACTCCTTAACCCCACCTTCCTTCCAACCCCACGTGCACACTCACTCCACAGCAACCATGCCAGTTGTCTTCCAAAATGCCACAAAATCTCACTGCTCCCTGCAAATATTGGCACTGCTAGACCCAGGACAGGCTTTGGGCTAACATTGAGATGGGGAAGTGGCTTATGAAGAGTTCCTGGATGGGCAGATGCCCCTAGGCTGCAGGGTTGAGTCTATGAGCAGAACAACAGTTAACACTAAATTAAGATTTCAGATTGTCAGGGAGTACAAGGCTCATTACCAAGCTCAAAGACCCCCAAGGTTACGAGGGGTGTTATCAAGAAGGTTGTGTAGCTTATGGCTAGCTCTACAATAAGGATTGCTGAGCTCTAAACATTTGTGACAGACTCCTATGAGGCCTACCAAGAGGACATGAGGACTTTTAACTGTAGGTTTTGAGACCTTATAGTTACTTCAGAGGCTCTGAGATCTATAGGTTTACATGCTATCACGAAGCTTAGGACCAGTGCTAAGGTTAGGGACCACAAGGGTGAAGACTTCAACCAGGTTTTGGATCATGCACAGCCCAATGGCATACCATGAGGTGTATGGCTAATGTTTCATCCCAATGCAGGTAGGAGCAGCTGGACTCAGCCACCATGTTCCAGCTAGGGCAGAAGACACTCAAAGCCAGGGTTCTGCATTGGTTTAGGGGGATGAAGACATATGCCAGAAAATGCAAGTAGTTTGTAGTTTTATAAAAGAAAGAAGATTGCATGGATATGTTATTATGATGAGGGCAGAGATTAAGATAGGGGGGAAGCAACACAGAAGGTTGATTTTATCACAGTATCCTGATAGTCCCATCAGAAGAGCATGACTGCTGCTGCGAGTCTGGTGTACTCCACTATCTGTGCACTTGCTCATTTTTGACCACTCAACCTACCTATTAGGGCCCATCACATACTCCAGCCTGTATGACCAGATGAAAAATATCAGGAATATCTTGCAACATTGCCTAATTAGGCCACGTATATTGCACAAGTTTCAGTACATGGACCATGAACTTCTGAAAAGCAGCTGTTGTCCCCTCACGCCCAAAGGTACAATTCAATTTTTTTTAAGAGAAGGGCGGCAAAGCAGGAATTAACCAGGAAAAGATCAATCAATAACTTTTTTTGAGATTGGAGGTCATGCTTCCAGTAATTCAAATGACCCATCTACTCCCAGTGTTGGATAAGCATCACACTGAAATATAGCACTAACAGAACCAAACTCAAAGCAGGACCAGGTGTGTTTGGTCTCAGTACCAGAACAAGACTTCACCAGTCATTTGCTGAGGCTCTGATGGTGCTTATTTCTCTCTCTGGGAGGGTCCTTTGCCTCTACACAGCTCTTGATGCCTGAGATCATTTTAATGGACAATATCCATATTTTATGTATACTTTATGTGCCTCCTTAGGCTATGAAAAGACATTTTGCAAAAGCCTGAAATGCTGAGTCATCTTCATGGGAAAAAAGCTCTTCTCCATCTGTATGGCATCTGAAGTCAGAAGAACCAGTAACTCCTTACTTGTTTCCCTTGGGAAGGTGCTAATTATGTTCTACTGATGCTCTGCAGGATATTCTTCCCTAATTGCCTAATCTGTGAAGTAATCCAAGGGATCCAGGCGCTTCTCAATGCGACATGAGCTTTTACTGAGTAAGAAGGACTGCAGTGAAGAGACTGGCAAACAGGAGGAGCCAATTTCCAGGCAAAGCAGTATTTCACACTGCAGTATTACTGCTGATTGTGTTGAATGTTTTTGTGACATCCTCAGGTCTATTTGGCAATGTTGTCTTGTCAGAAATGCACACAACAATGACACTTCATGAAACTGAAAGTTGCTTTTTGTCATTTTCTTTCAATAGACTCCATGCATCACAGGACTGCCGTTATGCAGCAGCTGAAATGCTGAGAAGCTGATGGAGGTTTGTGGGATTTCTCACACTGCAAACAGGAATGACTGCAGTACTCAGACCCCATTTTTTTATGTCCCACCCAAACCACTTTTGCAGCATTTGCTTCTAGAGCACTCTACCAGGAAATGATGCATTGCTGTTTTGAGAAAGTTAATTTACTGCCTTGTGGACTTCCCACGTGATAGCACTGCGAAATGTATGTCCCAGTCTCTTACAACTTAACTTCAATGTCTGCTATGCTGGTCATGGTGGAGTCCAATGGTACAGCTCTAGGAGGGCAGGAAAAGTAATCTCATATTATCAGGATATAGCACCCAGTAGACATTTTCAGTAAGACAGTGGGACTCTTTCAATATCCTTTTGAATGCAGGGACCATAGGAACATGCAAGGATTCATGCCTTGGAATTTTTTTGCCTTCAGTGACTAACATGCAGCAACTCAGTGTTCTACCTCTCTGAGGCTATGCCAGGGACAACGGAGATTATTATCACCTCGTGTGGTTCCTAGAGAATATAGTGTGGGAGGTTGTTCTGGCACACAGACAGGAGACCATGTCACGGATGGAGTCCAGATGCTCCCTGCTTGTTCCACTGCTTCCAGGACTGTCCATTGTACTGTAGCTGGGCAAAAAAATCACCTGGGGTGTCTTCCCCACTAACCCTTTTGTCTGAAGATAGGATTACATACCTTGGGAGCTGTCTTCTTCCATGCCTAATCTCACCATCATTAATGGTGCTCTTTCCCAGTCGAGTTGGATGAATCTGGTTGTTTTTGTAGGCACTGTGGCCATGCTACTTCTCCCAGGTGGTCATTCCATGGGCAGAACACTGAGAAAAAGACTCTTCTTGTGACACGACACTAGGTATGTGTTAATACACATCACTGGTGTATGCTAACACCAGTTATCACATACCACTGTAGTTGTTTCTCAACCCCAGTGATTGCCTGAGCTCACAGACAGGGATTTTTCTACCTCTGAGCAGCCACAGCGTGTTATTGGCCTTCAGAGACTGAGCGTAACACACTAACTCCTTCAACACAGTGTCTTTTCTTCAGTAAAAAAGGAACCTATCCAACACTCAACATCTTCTGCCTTGTTTTATTATGAAATCTGAGCAGCTGCCATGCCTCTTCCTTCCACAGAGACTGCTTAATACACATCATTTACTGGATGAGGAGAAAGGACTCCTTTTCAGACTTCTTTAGCTATTCCATTAAAACAGGAGTTACATTAGATTTGAAACACCAACATACTGCTGTATGCCAAGGGTAGGATCAGGATTGCTGCTGTGAGAGATAAATGGTTCGCTCTTCTATCTCTTCTAGCTCTTCATTTGGACATACTGTTAGGCTGTAGGATGTGGAAGATCTGTACCTAGCACAGGCTTTAACAGGGTCATCAAGGTCTGGTTATAATTTAGTATTATCCCACAGTCACGTTGCCCCATAAAAAGTAAATGAAGTGTATTTTATAACTACTTCAGAAGCTCATTTGTACCTAATGGGAGGGCCATCATAGCAGCTACATGGCTTAACTGGCAATTTGCTTACAGCTAAACAATACAATTTCAACCTTCGGTCCCTGGCTTGATTAAATATTGCACAGGAATGTTAAAAGATTTTTTTTTCTTTTTTCCAAAAAACTTCTAAGAAAAAAAAAATAGAGTAACGTTCAGCACATGTCCACATGTCAACCGTAGAAAGTGACAGGAAAAGCAATGAATGATAATTATGTTTAACTCCTCAGTGAACCCAAACTACGTCACTGTTTAATCACTGTCACAATCTGTACTAGCAACCACATGACTGACTGCAGTGGTTTTTTTCACAATAATCTTTTGTGCTGAGTTTTTAAAATGCTATTCCAGATCTGTATCCCACTAGTACAATTTTATCCTTCATAACTCAAAACAGCATTTAGATCATAAATCTTCTAAAACAGTATTCTTCTAAACTAAATTTAACCATCCCACTGAAATACTGCTTTGTTGTGTAATTAGTTACAAGTGTCAATTTTCAGGGTTAGACTACTGCATCCAACATTTTGTCTAGTTCAACACATGCACCTTATTGAAAAACAAACTACCATATTCCCCTTCACAAAGCACTGCACGCTGTTAGGGACTGTCGTCAGGTCATTTCAGTTTAAGAGTTTATATAAATCAAATTAATATTAGGTGCACCCAAACCAATTGTAGAACACATACAATGGATTCCAAACTGAAATTAGACAGGAACTAAAAACTCTTTCCTACCTCCCAGGTACATTCATGCCATAACCACGTCTTTTTTCTAGAGATGATATTTTTGCTGCCACCAACATATTGAGTGAACTGTGCTGCAAGCAGCATCCTGACAACAGACTTACAACCACAACTGACTTTGTGACCATAGCTCTTTGTACAAATAGTGGGAAGTAAAGCTGGATCTTTCTGTTGTACTAATCTTACTCTGTTATATTTGTCCCCAGTTAAAGAAAGACTATTGCATGTTATTTGTTAAAGCCTAGAAATGGAAAAGAAATGGTTTTTTTTTTCATTTTCCTTAGAAAATTTACATTAATTTGAGAAAAAATATAAAAATAATCCAACCCCACAATAACCATTCATCAATATTTGTTTGTGCTTGGGATTTTCTTCTTTTTTTTCCCCCAGAAATATTCAGCACCCAGACCTGGATGGATATGATTTTAAGACATTTTTTCCTCAATTAACAGCTACAACAAATGGCCAAATTCTCAGACTTCCTTTTATCCCTAGCTATTAAGTTTTTAGCAGAAATCTCAAATGGATTAACTTATTGTGAGAACTCCAGAATCTCCCCTGTGGAAAATCCTGGCCCCTGTTCCTTACAGCTCCTCCAGGTTTCCTACCATACAGCCACCAGCTATGTGACATGTTTAAATGGCACTGTCTAACCAAATGTAATCAGCTACATGGCAGCTGGAGGTCCCATAGCTTATCATTTACACCATGTCTAAACTATAAATTAAACAGTGCCAAGATGGCACTGGAACATGACTATTTATATTGTTAAAATGCTAGAAAGAGCCTCGGCGTGGGTTGGAGTTTGCACAAGCCAGGAGCCATTTCAAATAGGCAGTCTGCACATAAACATTCTTTTCGAAAATAAGATACCTTAATAATAGAGATGTGCACTGTTCCACGTCCCCTTGAATGAGCACATCTAATTTATGTTCCCTACCATAGGTATCATAGCCCTAGATGCCTAATAAAGACCACACTTAAAACTCTGGTGTGCAGACAGCCAATCAGCATATAAAACAGAATGAAAAAAATACAACAAAATACTAATAGGCACAGACACATGATCACCAGCATTGTAAAAGCATCACATCTAATTCAAATCCCACACAGTTGTGAACTTCTTAGCCTTCTTCTAGAAATGCCTTTGCATGCAGCATCAAGCAGAGTAGGCCTCAGGAAACCTTTCTGAAAAGTATCCTTAAGGACGCCTTCCACCTTAATCTTTTATCACTGGTATATTTAGACAATAAGGACTGCAAGGAGAAAGAGGAATACAAGTGAAAGAAAAATGCAGTGAGAGAAACCAGATTTAAAGAGCTGAGGAGAGTGGACAGCTCAGAAGTAAGGCTGAATGAAAGGACACTACATTCTGGTCACATAACTTGGGACCCAGCCCTGCAAATATCCAAGGGCTTACCTCTACTTGGAAAAGCAAATTAATGTCTGCCTATGCAGACCATGTCTGTCTACACTGCTCTTCAATTTACTCCCAGATTTTGATAACCTAATTACTCAGACTGTGTAAACATTGGTGTATGCCCATGTGCTTCAGTGCTCTTCTGACTCAGGGTCTGTGCCTGTGTGTGATACCTGACTTTAGTTTTGGAGGTATATAAGAACCTTTAAAATGAAAACAAAACCTACATCAAATTTTTTTTGTAAAGTGTCTGGAAAAGTATTTCCATACAAGCATTTGAAATCTAGTCAAAGGAAGAAGTTAAAAACCAATTTATACTCTGAAGTCTGTTATTATTTTGAGGCGCTTCAGTAAGGCCTTATATCCATTTAAGTCATCTGCCACTGCCTCTCTGCTTTCAGTTGATAACAGCATTGCAAAACTTAACCTCATGGGCTGAAATTTTCTGCCGTGCTTCTTTCTCAGATTGATCTGGGCTTTTTTGATAGTGAGAGCCGAGATATATTTTAGACAAAACAGTTCAGCCAGTTGTAAGAATCAGGTTGATGGAAAGCAAGCTATTCTCCCCATGTTAGAAAATTCAAACAGCTTTACGTTTCCAACAAGAAACCCCAGACTGCATTTCAAACCTGCCTAGCAGGTGACTTCAGTGCTCGAGATATGCCCTTTGCCTGAATGCTGGTACCATCTCCCACCAGCCCTGCAACGCAGCCTGGGATGAGACTGCATTTCCCACTCATTTTATCCCTCCTTCAACCAGGGTTGCTGCTGAAAAAGAGTCCTTTCGCCTTATCCTATCCTGACTTCACTTTCCTGTTCCCTCCCTCCTGCTCTTATTAAGACCCAATCCTTTCGGCCAGGTTAGCCTCCAAGCACATCAGCTCCCTGATCCATTTCTCCACCAGCAAGTGAACGTGGAAGCCCATGTAAAGTCATGGGCCAGAAGGAGCAGCTGGAGATGGGGAGGAAAAGGGCCGGATGGCCTCTTTGGTGGTTGTATGGATTCATTTTGGATCAAAATAAGTTGTAGACTTAGTTAATGACCCCAGGAAAGACTGCAGCCAGACATCTACATGTTTTCAGTGCGCAGGAGTATATCGTGCTGCAAAGTACTACTCCAAGAGGAATAAATCTCTGATTGATGCACACTGATACAAACTCACTGGGCAATGATTAGTAGTGACAGAGGTTTGAACGCAGCACTGAAACATCCAAAACTCCGTGGAGAAAGGTGATGGGTGGCTACAGCGACAACTCCAGGGGGAGAGAGGAAAACCCAAATGTTTGCATGACAGAAGACACTTATTCAACTCTGTTGCTCTGAAAATGAGCTGATAATATCATGAACATGACAGTATTTTGGGGAAACTGGTAATATTTGAAGCCTTATTCATGCCTTACACCACGAGGAATGTTTCTGGCCTTCAGAGCCAGGTTAGCAGACCCATCCATCCCCATCTCCTCACCCCAGCACCCCTCTCACCTGTGCACCGGCAGCTCTGGTTGAAGAACTTGAGGGGCCACCGTTCCCGGTCATCCACATTTCGAAGGGTGTAGGGGCCACTCCAGGGCTGAGTGTCCACCTGCACCCCCTGACACTGTCCCCTGCCCTGAAGGGACCCGCAGACATTGCCTGGCTCTATCCCCAAGGCCGGGCAACAGCGCTTCGAGCGAAGGGCATCCACTGTCATGCAGGCACGGGGGAACTGTGCCTGCACCCTGGGGGGACAACAGCAGCTCAGGTAGCTCAACCCAGCCCAGAAGAGCCACCTCAGAATGCCCATTACGGACGGGTGCAGGCTCTGCCTCTCCACTGGACCTGAGCGAGCGGAGCAGGGAGATCTCAGTCGTGGGACAACCTGGCCTCGCTGCAGCTCCATGCCCCAGCCGACCGGGATAATCCCTCTCACTGCTGGGGATGCTGGTGCTGGGTGTTTGTTTAATCCCGGGGTCTCTAATTGCCTTGAAAGCAGTTCAAAAGACGGGTGCTTTGGCTCTGCAGTGCCTGCCCAGCAGCCAAGGATCCGAGTGGGGTTTATATAGAGGTTGGGAGAAGCCCTCATTAGAGGGATTAGCATGGCACAAATCCTCGTGTTTTGCACATGACATCAAGAGCAGAAAAGACGCCAGCGTGAGAGCAAGTTCTGGGGGCTCTGGCGGCTTGTCAGGAGGGTGAATGCCTCAGATTTATTTCTCCATGTCTTTCGTGAGCTTTGAGAAATTGATGCTCTTGTTTTAGCTGAGGTGGCTGGAGAAAGAGGTTTATTCTTTTAATCAGAACCCTGTAAACAGATGATATATAGAAAAGGAAAACCCTTCTCTTTTCAGTTCGCTCACTGCAAGATAATACTTTCCACTAAAGCAGCAGCAGCAGAAAATGAACTGGAAGCACAGAGGATAAAGGTGCATCATTAACGAAAGTTAATAAACTTGGTAGTAATAGCTTGGGATAGAGACTCCACCTGCTGACTGCAGAGCTCCGGTGCTTGTACTGTAAATGTCTGAGTGTCAAGTGGGGAAGGGTTCCCTTCTTAACAGACTTTTCACGTGCAGAATGAATTATTTAATTGTTTTTTAAGGGTCCTTATTTGCTCTCTAATCCTTTCCCCATCATTACACCAGAGGTTGTTTCGGGGCCGGTCGGACTGCTAGACTTTCAGAACTGTCACAGCCGAGCATTTATCATCCACCTGGCAGGAGACAGTCTGTAAGATCAATACACACACCAGACATGCAGACAAGTGGTTTTGTTCAGGACATCGACAAAAATAACCTTAAAAGGCTGCTAGCATGCAGCAGCTCTTGCCCACAATGCAACTCCTATGTGCTAGCGGAATAAAACGAATAAATCAAAATAAAGTAGTGATAAGTCAGGAGATGAGATGAGTCTGAAGCACTAGCTATTTGTTCAGCTCCACCATACTGAATAAAAACTGGCAACTCCCTCTGCTTCACTGAAAGGTTTCTCTGCCTCCTCCCTCCACCCTAAAATTGTTTAGACATGTTTGTAAGTATTTATAATGAAAACAGCTGGGTTTGTGTCTGTACTACTCGATATTTCCATGGATGTTCAACCACAGCATTCTGGCACAAGTTTATTATCTATCCAGCAAACTTACTTCCATCAAGCAGCTAAGGACTTCATCCACACTGCAGACACTGTCATCAGCACTTTCAGCTTCTCCAATCTTTATATAAAAAATTTATTACTTGCCAGACAGGCTAAAATATTATTCTACTTAATTTTTGGAAGTACAAAGCCAATTAGCAATACCACATAGTCTGAAATGGGTTTCAACTCATCTCCCTTAGGATTCACTTTACCTGGAACTGGCTTTTGCCCGCTGCTTTCAACACAACATGTGAAGAAGACGGAAAGTGAGAGTAATTGCTGGAAAAATATGTTGAAGAAGCTCGGGAGTTATAAATGGAGGCACTAACTAAAAAACACTCTGAACAACGCACCTCTCCATACTACTCAGAACCTGAACACACCTTTCTGGTGTGGGAAAGATCAGTCTTTGAATCTAGGTTAGACAATGTCTTGAACCAAAGTTACCAACATATCATCCGAGATCAATTAAAGCGAACACACATTTATCGGCATCACCAAAAAAAAAAATATCAAAAAATATGGATAGGATTCAGCTAGCTGATTAAACCCCTGAAGTGTCTATATGTAAAATATGTGTGCAAGCAGCCATTATAATCAAAGCTGGCTCAGTTCAGACCCCCATAGGAAGGCACCTACGGCCATTCGAGATCCTGTGTGAGGCAGAAAGAGTAAGACAGAGAAAGGCGAGGTACAGTTGCAGGCACGGCAAGGTAAGGCAAGGAATAATGCTTCTAACGTGGTACATGAGGAAGGAGAAATGTGTCATTTTCAGAGAAGTTAGAGTGTGAAAAAAAAGAATAGCGGAGACATGATAATATGGAGATTGCTTAGTGAGCAGGGGAAAGAAAACTGTGAGTAGAAGAGTGGCACATACGTAACTTTTCTTATAATTACCTCCATCCTTCACAACTACATAATTTTTCGGAACTGGGAGCGTGCTACAGCATGCAGTACCAGTAAAGATGTAGCACCAGTCTCTGGTCCTCCATAATGCATCAATATTTTAAGAGTGCCCTCCCTGGCCAGGAGGGCACCACCTGGACAGATAGACAAAGGACAGACAGATCCTGCATCGTGGCGTCACCGTGTTGGCGCCCATTGCAGGCTTGCCGGCATCGGCAGCCGCACATCGCTGCATGACACGCCATGCGGAAGACACTGAGCAAAATTACAAAAGGACCGTTGTCTTTCAATTAGTCAGCGGGAAAACAGCAGGCACTGTCTGTTTCTTAATGCCTCACTGTTAAGAAGCTCCTGCAGCTCTTACACTTAAATAAAGGAGCTGTTGTTAAAGCCACAATATCAGCACTATACCAGTTTACAAAATAACGTGTGGAACAACTTTTTATGTACTATGAGGTTTTGCTACCTCTTGAAAAATGAGTAGCTCTGTGTGTTGACACTACTGCCCAGAACTGCTTCCCCGCAGCTATCAAGACCTTTCAGGCAGAGGATCTGAGCACATGAGCAGTGGCCAAAGCCCCCTTGATCCAAACTGTGACTGCGCTGCCTTGTCCACATTTCTGAGCTACGAGGTCAGGCTACCACACCTGAAACTCTGTTAAAATTTATTAGTTAAAGTATTTAGGCTTTACTCTGAAAGTAGAAGAACACAGTATTTCAGCTACCTCGTAGTATGGATTTGTGCCCAGCCTATCTTTAAAGGGCACCAAACAAATACACCCATATAGATGCCAACGCATTTTGGGGATTAATGCATTCACATGGGGGTTTTTGGCAAGAGAGGCAATAAAGAAAAAGAATACTTAAAGGCACAGGCAAATAAATCACTAAACACAGCTCACCCGAGCTGAATTCCTGAACAGTAAGCAGGCAGTGGGTTCACTTTTTTTTTTTTCTCAATGACAGTATTGTTTCCCAGGCTCTTTCTACTGTACTCAAGCACAGATTAGCTTCAAGCCAGAAAAGTATTTAGCCTTTGGAATTTTGGAAAGAATTTTGCCAAAAATACTACATTCTACATTTAAATTTATGTGGAAATAAATATCAATAGAAAGTATAAACCACATGATAATTCATAATGGCAGGTGGTAATTCTGGAGATAACAAGAAGAAAGATAATTCTACAAGGAAAACCACAGACAAGTAAAAGATCAAGGTCAGAGTGGAATGAAAAGAGACAGGATGAGCAACACCCAAGCTTCTGTTCTGCAAGCAGAAGAATTTTCTAATTTAAAAAAAAACCAACCCCACCATATCATAAGAAGTAAACTCACCCAGTCAAGTGAATCCATGGTATCTCAAGCTGAGCACCCAAAAGCAATGAGCACTGCTGGAAATTTTTGCTGTTGTGAATATTTTTCTTTTTCTTTTCTTTGATATTATACATCTAATTCCTTGTTCTGTCAAACCACCTAAACATTAACTTACGGGTATTTACATTGCCATAAACCTCACCTGAGAAAGAACAAATCCTGTATCTCACAAGTGAAATTTCAAGGTTGGACAAAAAGGACTTAGCAAGAAACTCCAATGAAAATATCTCAGTACATTTTTCATTTCTCCAAAGATCATGTAACATAACTTTAACTTACGCATGACATGAAACTGGCCATAATAAGAATGTTTTGAATGGAAATGAACCCATATTAATCTTTACCTAAAGCTTACATCAAATTCACCTTTTTGTTCCTATTTTAAGTGACAGATAAATATTTTGGCTGCTGATTTTAACTGTTCTGAATTTATGTGCTCCAGATTTCATAGAGTAAGAAGCATGATCTAAGGCATGTTTTTCCAACACTGCCACCGGGAATGTGTTACTTGAATACTCATGAAAGTCTTTCATTGGAAAATGTGTGAAGCAAAGCTACTCATTATACAAGGCAGAAGTCAATTCAAGTCTGATACCCCCATTATGCGCATCTATTGTGTTCATCTATCTCGGAGCTATGTGTCTTTAAGTTCCCATTATGACAAATAGACATCTTAATTGTTAATAGCTGATGGAGCGTAAAGAGTAACTCACCTGGAAGAGAGAGATCTCAAAGGCATAAATTTGCTAGGAGTTTCAGGAAACCTAGAATAAGCTAGATGGCAAGTAGAAGAGAGAGCTGTTAAGTGCCCCAGTAGAAGTAAAGACTTTAGTGTGAGATTATGCACTACTAGACAACAGAGACTATACAAGTAAGCCATCTGGCTCCACAATGAGCCATTATAAGTGAACTGACAAAAGAAAAAGCTTGCACCTGAAAAAAAAGCTTCTGCTAAAAACTAAAAAAAGACACCAAACAGAAATCCATGAGAGAAAGGCTTCCCAACATCTGTTGATCTTGTTTTTATTTGACTCTCTGAGTTACCCAAGTGTAACCAGACATACGCAAAATCTTGTAAGTCATCAGATATGGAAAAAGCAACTCAACACTTGCAGAAACGATCTTTGTTCTCTTAGGCTTACATTTCAAAGCAATATATCTCAGAAAAATAGTCTCTCTAATATTTCAAAATTTTCAGTAAATTGCAATATGGGATGACCAAAGAAGAAAAGAGTAGTTGCCACTCTGTTCTCTCATTTGTTCATCCGCAAGCCATTGACACCAAGCTGAGTGGTGCAGTTGACATGCCTGAGGGACGGGATGCCATCCAGAAGGACCTGGGCAGGCTCAAGAAGTGGGCCTGTGTGAACCTCATGAGGTCCAACAAGGTCAA